CTTGTATTGGCCGAGGGATGATACGGAGTATGATATGGAAAAATATATTATATTTTATTAATGGCTTTTTTTCCGAATTGTAAAGGAAGAAAATGTCAGCACGTATTTTTTATTCAATTATTTCCAGACAATTTTTGTAATGTCATTTAGAAATTAAATTTCCTGTACAAGATCGAGGAAACAATATGCCTGCTGTATGCGACTAACGTTTGCTCCCGCTGCAGAATCGGGGGTTTTCGTCTATTGCAACATATGAGATCTTTCTGATTTTTTCATTCTACCTAACAACAAGTTTTGTATCCTAGTGCTTTTTTGCCATACGTCACTTTAGGCTTTAGTGTTAATACTTTTCCCAAGCCCAAGAGGGGTAGACAATGGGTTCTGTCCTAAGGCCAGTTCATACTAAAGTTCGTAAAACGGTAATTGACATGCGTTTCTTAACGTTCAGCATTAAAAGTAATGGTAACAGCTGGTTTACCTGTTGCCAGTATCATGTGACCAAGTGGAAAACTGTGCCGGGTGTCTTTGGCATGGTACTTCAGTGAGGTAGCACTTAAGCTAGCATCAGAATTGCGCTATAGCAGGGAGGCATATACATCAACATACCTTGCCTCCAGCACCAGGTATGAACGCATTGATTACAAATACCGAGGCACGTCACTTAACGAGTTTAGCTGTTACATTTAATAGCACATTAATCCCAATACATTTAAAACCAAATACAACCAAATGTTCACTTGGTTAATGGAAATGCAACCTTTTTCCTTTTACGGATGCTTTTAATGCCAATTTTTATAATTCATTATTTAAAACAATGTTTTAAGCGGTATGCGTCTAACAAAGGATGAACCGCCACAATGAACTAGTAAGTGCTGCGGTGGCCAAGTTGTTAAGGCATCTGGCATTCTGCTTTCACCAGCCCTCCGCCACTGGGTCGTGTGTTCGAGGCCTACGTGGGGCAGTTGCCAGGTACTGGCCGCAGGTCGGTGGCTTTTCTTCGGAAACCCCGGCTTTCATCCACCACCAAAACCCGGTACGTCATTAAATGACCACAGCTGTTAATAGGACGTAAAACACACAAAAAAAACAAATCAAATCTAAATAAATGAACTCGTAATCGTTCTTCATAAACCTCTTTATCGACGGTTCTAAAATCCTTCCTTAACAGTGCGAAGAGGTCATTATGCATCCCTCGTTACTTAGCATGCATCCTTTGTGTCAGGAAGCTCTCGTAGAATTTATTGTATTCCTATGTTTTGCTGTATTTGAATGTGTATTGCGTTTGTGATCCCTGAGCCTGGTAATGGCTGAGAAAGCTCACTGGAAACATAGATAAATAGCTGTAATATAAAGAACAATGATCTCCGCCATTCTGATCCTGTAGGCGTCAATAGCGGTAGCGTCATGTCGTGTTTTGCCGAGTTAAATTGTTATTACGAGGCCGACCCGACAGACAGATTTTGATGCAAAAAAAGTTTTTAAAAAAAGGATAAAAGCATATTTTTAAACAACCATTACGGTTATTTACTTCTCCAACAGAACAAAGGATTAATTACTTGTGGGGTTAGATATGGTGTTGTTAGACAGAAATAGTGCCGTATATTTGTAAATTTTGGACGCAAGATAAAAGCCTATCAACATTTATTTCCGTACTTTGAATGTCAAGTCAATCTAATTCCGGTACAGTCACGATTTCCCTAAAACATAAAAACAAGAAACAGGCCATCAATATACGATATCCAACAACTCGGTATAGCCATTGTCACTCCGGGTTCGTAGAGTTGCTGAAACCACTTACGCCACCAAACAAAATATATACGGTAAGCCCGCCATTTATGTGGCATGTCTACTTCGATAGGAGAAGTTTAATATGACATAATTATATTCACCAAAAAGAAAGGTAATACTTAATTCAATAGATACATGTAGAACGTTAAGGTATTAAATAATGGCCAATGCATTGTGGTCATGACTCAGGTCACATGACGTCGTATAAGGGTTCTGATAGGTTATAAATGGTTCGGACATCCGGGACTATAAAAAGACCATCATAGTTTACTAGCTCCAATACCAATAAGATAAATTACATACAAGGTACCGGAACGTCTATGAGTTATATTCTTTGATATGGATTATCATGTGTAGCATAGCAATTATGATCTTAACGGTCTATATCATTGTATTATATGTTCATTAGTCATAAGGTTTTCTTTGATAAATCTTCTTGATACATTATCGATATAATCAGACGGACAGTCTCCAGGCCTAGTGATGACAGGGTAGTAAGGATAATTAGTTTGGTAGTGCTCATCATCGACTTAATTATGTTAAGTCAGGTGAAAAAATTATTGAAGGTAAAACATAACAAAACATACTTACCTTCGATACACCAGGACAAAACCTTAGCCAAAGTTTGATACGAACGATACAACAATGAAAGGAAAGCATGAACACACGCAAATCTCCGGCGAGGCAAGGTGCTCCAGAAGGATAGGTGCTCCAGGCACGACATGCGGTACCTGTAGTAGCGCCATTAGCCAATACATGAAAGTGTATATGTCATCAGATTTCTTGTAGTTTAAATTAGGCCATTATGACAGCTATCAAACTGAAATCATTCCAACATGACTAAGAAAGTACAAATCTATGTTGGAGAACAACAAAGCCAACTACACGATAGTTAAGTAGTAGCTCAGTCCATAACACTTGCATTTTTTTTCAAATTTTTTTTTTTCAAAAAATGCTAGTTTCGTTTTGACATTAGTACACTCATGCTTGAATCCTTAGAAACCTTGATTTCAAATATACCCATGCTAGTAGAAATGTTTATTGAGAAACACGTCATTTGCAGTAAAATATTAACCCGCAGACTTTGGCATAAAAAGTAATTCTCAAAACAGCTGAAATTTTCAGAAAATGTTAAACATCATTGGTAAGTGTGTAAGTATTTGGATAATTAGCAATTGTTACTGCACATATTAAGTTTGAAACAAGAAAATAACCTTAATTACAAAGAATGAAATTTGACATTTGCTGTTGGGAGTGTGTATTTTTCGAAGTTGAATCTCGCTCTTTATAAGAGATTTCACAAACGAATTATATAAAGAAACAAACGAATTCAGTTCTTTAGGATATTTTTACAAACTCTATACAATACATTTTATAACATATCTTATATAATGTATCTAATATGTTATATACATTTTTTAATATGTTACTTTCTAAAAGATATAAAATTTCCTATGTTTTATATGACATTTCTGGTATATGTATTTTCTTAATAAAACCTTTTTTTTAAGATATCTCATGAAAGATATAAATTATCTTATTATTTTTTCATATTATTCCCGACGAGAGATTGGACAGGTGTGCATCACGTGTCCACCGATAAAAACCGATATTGACTTGGAGCGCGTGATTTTTGTTGAAGGACTGGATGTTTCTAAAATAGAATTATGACGTGTCTCCAAACAATGCACCGTCCCATTTCCGAAGATTTTTTGTTGTGTTTTTTTTTCAGATTGCTTACGTTGCTGTTTAGTAAAATAATAAAACAATTGTAGCCTTTAGCTTCGGTTAATACCTGGATTTATCGACCCAAGGACTGCGTCCGAGGTTAATATATCTTTTCTCGGGTTGATAAATCCAGGTGTCGACCTCAGCCGAATAATATTACAAGAAATAGATCGGCAACGTCTTCTGCTAACAAATTGAGCTTATTTTGGTAATCCAACGTGACACACCTGTAGTTAGGTACACTTACCTCCTGTATTACATAAAATAACGACGGCTAATACTACGTCAAGTAAATGATGTATCGGTCTTTAACTAATTTGTAAAGGCAAATGTAGATTTAATAAACTGTACAATATATCCATAATTGTAAATCAGTCCTCCATTTTGTAAGTTCATGTTTTTATTAGTGGATGCATGAATCTTGTGTGACATTTATCCGTACAATTTTGTACTTATGCCGATAGCTGACATATATTATACATGTATCTGTAACTAGCAGCACAATCCCATCTGTGAACATCGTTTATGAATACATTCCATGTCTTATTACCAATAGTCATGAATTGTTATATGACGAGGACAAACAATGAAACACTCCAGTAACAATGCTGTACTCTTGTTGACGATCCCCACCACTGGAGACAGGAGGAAGAGACTACATCAATATCCGCCTCACGCCTAGATTCTCTACCAGGTGTCTATTTGTAACTGGACCACTCATTCCCTATCCTTAACTGTTATAACCCTCTCAATAACACACTGCTTGTTGACTATCGTGAGTCACTATACGCCGGCTGACATAGAGTTTGAATTGCCATACTTGTAATAAGTAATTGTGACTGTACTCGTAAATAATTGTGACTGAGAGCCATTGACTTGTTTGAATCAGATATAAACTTGAAACATGAGATTGAAACTCTCTTCCCTGTAGAGCAATACAGCAGGTAAACACTTAGTAAAACCAATGTCACCCTGGTAAAAGAGTAGCCACGGCTAGAGAAAATTTCTCTTTAGCTCATTCGGTAGAGCGTTAGACTAGTAAATCAGAGGTCCCGGGTTCGACTCCTAGCGGAGGCATTAAAAACATAAAGACCTCTGTTACACCAGTTTCTGTATTAGTTGTGCAGGCCCTTGACGAAGATTGATTGATGTATAGCCTATGTGTCCAAGAGGAATAAGTAATACATATGATATCTGCCCCACAAACGAATCTGCGATCTCAGGCGTTCTATCATTGAACTCAAGATAAATACCCCATAGTCGAATCTATGAAAGGCGGTTAGACACTTTGTATACGTATAGTACAACTTAAGTGAGAAACGACAGTAAAAACTTAAAATTAGGTCAGTGATCCAGGCGTTTTATCATTGAACTAAAGATAAATACCCTATAGTCGAATCTATGAAGGGAGGATAGACACTTTGCGGGTGCTTTAAACGTGTAACCACATACAGAACAACCAAAATGAAAAATAACTGTAAAACTTAGTCTCATAAATTTATTATTTAAGATAAAAACTTAATAACAGATAACAACCAATTAAATAATCTTGATTGTAACTTGTTTGTATACATGTATCAGGGTGACTCAGCACTCTATAGCTACATATGTACTACATGAGCTTCACCCACTCTGTACAGATAGATACACTACAGTCAGTGTTCATTGTCCACGGTCACTGTTTTAATTGATATCTTTGTCATTAACTCTGTACAGATAGATACACTAAAGTCAGTGTTCATTGTCCACGGTCACTGTTTTAATTGATATCTTTGTCATTAACTCTGTACGGATAGATACACTACAGTCATTGTTCATTGTCCACGGTCACTGTTTTAATTGATATCTTTGTCATTAACTCTGTACAGATAGATACACTATAGTCAGTGTTCATTGTCCACGGTCACTGTTTTAGTTGATAGCTTTGTCATTAACTCTGTACAGATAGATACACTACAGTCAGTGTTCATTGTCCACGGTCAATGTTTTAATTGATAGCTTTGTCATTAACTCTGTAAAGATAGATACACTATAGTCAGTGTCCATTGTCCTCGGTCACTGTTTTAATTGATAGCTTTGTCATTAACTATGTACAGATAGATACACTACAGTCAGTGTTCATTGTCCACGGTCAATGTTTTAATTGATAGCTTTGTCATTAACTCTGTACGGATAGATACACTACAGTCAGTGTCCATTGTCCACGGTCACTGTTTTAATTGATAGCTCTGTCATTAACTCTGTACAGATAGATACACTATAGTCAGTGTTCATTGTCCACGGTCACTGTTGTAATTGATAGCTTTGTCATTAACTCTGTACAGATAGATACACTATAGTCAGTGTCCATTGTCCACGGTCACTGTTTTAATTGATAGCTTTGTCATTAATTCTGTACGGATAGATACACTACAGTCAGTGTTCATTGTCCACGGTCACTGTTTTAATTGATAGCTTTGTCATTAACTCTGCAGCTGAATATCCAGGTAAGTCACGTCAGTACTTATAACATAATGCATATATAATGAATGAATGAGTGTCATAACTTTCTCAACGAGTAAAATGTATATGCTTGTTTTCAAATATTATGCTGTATGTCTTTAATATCACCGACCAATGTGACGTCATGGTCCATCTAGTTTCTAGTTTCTTCTTCCTGGAATTCTGTCCTATTTAATCCCTGTCACTTAAGCAGGGTCGTCGATATATTGTCCGGATATGTTCCATGAATTTCGGATCGCAAAAACCATATATGATAGGATTAGCCATATTGTTTATAAAAATACTGTACAAAAATAGATAAAACATAAACGTTCCTGTAAAATCTAAACTTGGTAAGAAGTCTTTCTTTGTGTCGGCAAGGATTTTCAATATCAGGTGTGGAAGGAAGCTGATGAAGTAGACCAGTGTTATAATGAACAACATCATGGTCACGCGAGCGCTTCTGTTGCTTACCTTCTTACTCTTCTTCCTGTTGCCAGGTTTGGTGAGCCTGTTGCCATGCTTGTTGCTCTCGACGCTATCATCCATTGCGTTCGCTGAATCGTCTAGTCCACTACACGTGGTCAGATCCTCCTGGCTAGCTTTAAGCAAGTCCATGCTACAGAATTGGAACTCAGAATTCGTCACCACCTTGCACGTCTGGCCAGGTTCAAAACTCTTTTTCCTTGTTCTGGAAATGTGAGATTTGTTGTCCGATCTAAACGCTCTCTGCTGGTAGACACGGCGTACTACTTTTATATATAAGACTATGAGGGCAATATTGGCGATGATGATGACGAGGATGATAACAGCGTTGTAATATGTCGTGTATTTCGTCTTGATGAACTTGTCGTCGATGTAACAAGTCGCGCCCATCAGGTCGGGATACCCAGTATCAACGGTACTGTAACCATACAAAATGGCCGCCGGCCAAGACAACAGTAGAGCTAAAAGCAGAGCCAGAAAACTTGTAACTTTCGCACCTTTTATAGTCATCTGAGATTCCAAAGGGCGACAAATCTTCCTGTAACGTTCCACGGCTATGACGACAAGGAGAAATGCTGAACTTCCTCCTGTGAAATAGTTTGTGCATCGTAACACTTTACACGCAATCCCGGATGTAAATTTTAGCGGCAGCAGCAATTCTGAGATAACAAAAGGCATTCCAACCAGACACATGAACAGATCCAGGTAACCAAGAAATAAAATAAATATCCTTTGATTAGTTCTCTTAAATTTCGTTCCGTATATATACAACACATGTATATTGCCTATAATTCCCACGATAGACAGGAAGCCGACCACTATGATGGCACCGAGTCTTTCCATCATCTCGTCATGGTTGAAGTCGTCAATGGAAATAGACCCATTGAGGTTAGGGTCAACGTTGTAAAGGCCTGTTTTCAGTTCATCTGGGGTCATGTTTGTGCTTTGTTTTTGTGACATCCTCTGAAAAATTAGAATAATAGAAAAATGAAATTACCGTATGTAATGAAAGATTGAAATACGTGTTCTTAATATAAAACACAGATATAGTCCATGGTACACGGTACATTTGTAATAAAATTGGTGAATACGTGTGTAAGCCTTGCGGAATTGGTAAATGTAACCATAGAAACCACTACCTTATTCATGGAAACATGACCATTCCGCCATTTTGTAAATTAGTTTGTTAAAAATGTATCACGAAAAATAGAAACTACACAGAATATTTTTACCTATTGTCTGTGCTGGTGTGGATATCAGTATAACATTTTACATCTTTGAAAGTATGACATACAGGTATATAGGTTATATAGAGTTTGGTCTACGGACTGCCAGCTAGGTCACCAAAACACAAAACAGCCATACACAACACAAAAACCACTTGTGAAACATGAATCATACAAGTCCCTGTTTAACTTGTATTTAAAGAGGAAAAGGAACGGAAATTCAAAAATAAATGTTTCAATGAACAATGGAACGAAGCAGATTCAATTTGCTACAACAGGACTTTTACATAGTCGGAAAAGAGAACATCAGGAACGGAAATATGGAAAGGCTCGATAAGGGACCATGTCGATAAAGACACATATGTGACTTGATCTTAGACAGTAAAACCAACCAACAAACATGATAAGTCAATGTACCATTCAGATTGGTAAAAAGGGACCAGTTATAAAAGGAACCTGAAGCTGTATATGCTGTTTATCATCGGACAGCAACTAAAGCTGGACCAGAGTCAGTAACCACGCTGGTAGTCAGTCAGCGAAACTGTCTGGTCAATCACGTCAGATTGGATCATCTTTTAGATTGGCCCCCTTCTCTAGAATATTAAATCGTTTAGAAAAAAAAAGAAACTCTTATAATTTTGATCACTTAGATGTCTGATTCTAAATAAGTTCTAAACTAGGAGGAGATAAGCTGGAAGTAAAATGCAGCCAGGAAATTCTTCATACAAATCTTAGGGGCTGGTAGCCAGTCTAATCATCTTTGTTTGGCACAGTTTAGCTTTGTTTAACTGCAGCTGACATTTCGGTCGCCAAACTGACCAAATTCACTGACAAAAAAATGATGCTGTTTCAAACCACACTTACAATGTTTGAACAAAAATCTATAAAAGTCGATTCACATTCCTACGTTAAATTAATTGGTAATTTCCAAGCTTAACTACTATTGATACAAGTAAGCTAATGAGTATTTTGTAACATTTTTTAAGCACAGTTAACGGCGCTCGGAACAAGCGAGTATCCGATTTCAGGACTGATACACATCGAGTACGACCACAGTGGCCTCCATATTTGCAAGTATGTGCTGAATATTAAAAACAAATTATGAAATATGTATCCGTAAAAAAATGATAATTAAATCTGACAACTACTTTGACTTTGTATTACATAAAGTTCTGATCGTATAAATTGTAGGAGAAGGTAGTCGATAAACTTCTGGTTTTGTAACAGACTTTGTCAGTGAACGACACCATTTTCCTTAAATGATAATTACTGATATTTTGCTACAAAAATTATAATAACATAGACAATTATGCATCGACTATATTTCTCCTACTTCCAGCAACCACGGAATGTAGATCTCAAGATATTTTGGCATATTTATTGACTACATTTGCCTTATTGTCTGCATAAAATAAAGATGCAGTACGGCATCAATTGTTATAAATCCGCAATGCACACAACATTTTCTTATTATATGTGTGCAGATCAAGTGCCAACCTTTATGTTTAATTCATAAGAATATAGCACATACAAGGACACAGATGAAAGTTTCAAAGCGTCTTCTTTTCTGTCACTGTGAACCCCTATACCCTTTAATCTGTACCAACAATCTGTTTGTGTCCATTTATAGCAGCAATCGAATACACCTACTTCGATTACATGTTTAACCTGATAAATGTATTCATTAAGTGAAGGTACGTTACAGTACCATGTACGACAATGAGGATTGGATTATCTACCGAAAGTGACTGTTCCTGTGTAGTATTTCCGCTGAGTATTACCTCTTAAACGTGATGACACAGGAGCTCATTGTCGTAAAAAAACGATACAAGGTAGGCCCCCTCATCCCTAGCGATCGTATTTCGTGATATACAATGTATATGAGCCGGTGTTTGTATGAGAATACACATTATATACATGACTAAACCTGAATCCTTATAAATGATAAATCACACCGGATATTTACTCTGTATAAAACCTACAGCAGTGGTTACCTAAGTATCTCATTTCGAATAGAAGAATTCAAATATTCAAGTGCAGTTTGATAAGGATTTTTTTCAATGCACACGTAGATGTATTTCCATGGAAACGCAGGCCACCCTAGTATACACTTTTATAAAAATAATTCTTGTACCAAATTTCGAATGCACGGTATAAATTAGTTTAAAATGAGCTTAAGGCATATAACCTTTGGAATGTCTTTCAAATACATCGCAATGTCATTAAAATTCACTGAATATCCGGTTGGATATAACCAGCATCGATCAGTCGAATGCGCCGCACGACGTAAACATTCAAGTAGTTACATGGTGAATCACACGTCCCTGTGTAACCTACATGTAGGTAACGTACATTGTATAAGAGTTGATAACCCAAATTGGTCTGAGTTGTCTTTTAACACTAGTGTCACCCGATACCAACAGGTAAACTGAATCTGTCCTCGTAACACTGGGCAGGTGAATCTTATACAGATAAAATACCTGTCGGGGATAAACAATATTCTAGTATGCGTGTATAAAAAACAGTATTAAGAAAATAAAACCTACACTTCCTAATAAGGTATTATGTAACAACACGTGACTACTTTATTAGACATTCGCTGAAGTAAATTACTTACAAATAGACGTCGATACATTCGACTTCACAGTCATAAGATTGGCATTGTGGTTCATTTCATATTGGAATATAAACTATTGCTAACAGGTATAAAGTTATATTGATATAAATGTTGCTATATTAGACCAAATATATTTTAATTTGAAGTATTGAGGAATTTCAAACATACATAAACATTGAAGAGAGTTTTAAATAGTGTTCAGTATAACTTGTCCTCTGTATATACTTGTTAGTGCCGCCGAGCACTTGTTGGTATATGACCCTGTAAATAGGCTATACTGTATCTACCTAGTGTCATTTATAACGAGAAATACAGAACTTAGGCAGGACTTACCTCACGGTGTCGGTGTTAGTGGCGATCAACGACTGTTATATATGTTAAACTTTACTTGGAGGTAAATGAATACAATTTTAACAGGACCACCATGCACTGTCGTCCCCGTAAATACACTGTTTGTAGTAAACTCACTTACCACACCAGTAAGTCAAGTGTGACACATATTACACACACACGGGGTAAACCACCACAACTTCCGGTCTTGAAGATAACATTTATTTACAAAACGACTTGTATGTAACAACAAGAACTGAGGTTCGAGGCAATAAACAACCCCGAAATCTGATAATTTAGTCATACATGTGAGTCTTGTGATGTCACTGCCCTAAACCCCTCTATAATACTCTCATATCGCAGTGGCGGATCCAGAGACCTATCTGGGGGGGTTTCCAAATTTCCTGGGGGGGTTTCCATGTTGGAAAATATTGAGGAAAACGGTGAAAATATATGATTTATAAAGAAAATTCTCAGGGTGGGGGGGGGTTTCCTGAAGCCAAAAAACCCCCTCTGGATCCGCCACTGTATCGCTTCAATTTTATTCAATCAAAATAACAACAACATCTGAATTAAATATCCGGAGGTACACCAGGCTTACTGAGTACAACAGGCTGTAATCAACACACAGGTAAATATGTCGCAGACATCATTGAATAAGCGTAAAGGTGAGTCATTAAAATTGTAAAGTTATTGCGAGGCATAGAGATATATATTTTCAAACATGTGACACAAAAAATGATAAAATATAGAATTGAGTCACTAACTATGGACTACCAGGTCACAGCTATTTTACCTAAAGGCATAATTTACACGTACTTTTAAGTCCCTCAGTATATTTACAATATTGCATTGATGTCCTTGTTACATATCGTGTGCCTCTCCTCAGTACATTACATTTGTACATTTCAGATACTTCCCAGTATTTCTTGCTACTTTCCTAAGTACACCAGTCATTTTATCAGTTAAATTACTACACAGGGTATATCCTATAACTTGACAAATAGTCGTGTATATTTTCCAACTTCAGGATCTTTCTTCACGCTTCAATTTTCCTGGTATTTCATAAACGATTTGTCGTTGTTCGCACACACATACACACACATACACAGTATCATTGGTCCACGATGCAGTCAGTGTAAATTTATCCTTCGGCGTGCAGTGTAAATTCTTCCTTCGGCGTACATTAGCCGAGGTGCTCATGTTTTTAAATATCAGTTATATCCTATGATATTTCTTTTTTGTTTTTATGTTATCGTAAGTGTTCTGTGCTTTTTCTCTCTCTCGAGAAAATTGGACAACTTCATAGTGTCTACACTGTTGAAATAACTTCCTTGCCCCTGTTATTGCGCTTGATATATACAGGAGTATCTATAGTGATTTACCTACATTGATTTGCAACTGTTTTTGATTATGCGTTAATAGCACCATACTATTTACTTTTCAAAAGATTATACACATATAACGTTTCATTTTCAGAATACCGTTTCCAGGACATCATCATAATTTGTTCTGCATTTCGGTTTCTCTGTACCATACCGAAATATTGTAGTCAATTAATTGAATTTTTGTCGGATCCTCTAAGAAAACGTATCATGTAACAATAGAACGCTTTGTACTAAACTATCAAAAATGGCCATCGAATTAAAAGCAACCTAACAAAAATTATACATGACTTAATCTAAATTGAGCACTGGTAACATCGATGTCAAATCACTGAATCCTTGTCAGACACGCACGTAGTCATTGGAGTCACACGAAGGAGTCAGCTTATGAGTAAAACACATTTTGATCATACCAAATATGACACAAGTAACGTCGATATCTTTCTCAAACTGATTTTCAGAATATTTTAAACAACGTGGAAGATTAATTTCCTTGACTTTCCCTCTATGGTGCGTGGTAACTGTGGACGTATATATTCCCATCACACGTTACGACCATATCCAATGTTACACATTGGCACTCAACACTACAGAATATCCGACTTCTGGTTATTTCAGCCATTTATATTTTTTCTGAAATATTTTCTGACTTAATGCAAACTACAAAATGTTATATAGGTGATGTTTTAACAACAAATATGAGAATTTTGTAATTACCAAATGGCAGCTCCCGATAATCCTAAAAGCATGTCATCCAATATTAAAACAGACAAAGGTTTTCAAATATAGCTGTAGGTAATAACATGCTTTCCTCTCATATATAATCGAAATGGTATTTTAGTTGACTGTATTTCTGCATCCAAATGTTGTTTAGGAACGTGACTGTCTAAATTGTAATTGTTTTGCAGACCATAACTCATGGAAAATAGAGCTAGATATCAAAATACCTGAAAGGTGAATTCCAGTAATTCCAAAATTGGAACCGAATAGAAGGTAAATACACTGGATGTTTCCGATTTTTAACGTAGACCGATCAATACATTGCCTGTCCCACTCTACCGCAACACATCGCATCACATCTGTCATCACAGTGGATGTTCATGTGTATTTTTCAAAGAATCTTTCTTTTCAAAGATGGTTATACGAAAGTTATGGCAATTCAACATTTGTTCCATAAGATTTCAATTCTTTGTTTTAAAAGACAATGATCAGTGTATAATGGTCTTTTTCCGTAGGCCTCTGGCAAATATGTTGATAATAAAACAACACAATGATTATCTCTAATCCAGAGTGTTAAAGCTATAGGCATTGATACAGGATCTCACAATATGGAATATTACATTGTAGGTATAAGTCAAACATGTAACAGCTTATTGGTTATAAACTGTGTCCGCATCCAAACGGAAATTGTATATTGCTATTTACATAAATCAGTGGATGTATCGATTTCTGCTAGCTAAACAACGATAAAATACGTCACGATACCAATGTAAACATCGTTGATTATGTTGAACTTTTTCGGACAATACGGTACTCCTGGAGGTGTTTGAACAAAAAAACTGTAACGAAGCCATTCGTGGAATCTTGTATCAGAAAAAAAGCCTCTAGTTTTAACCGACGACTGAAAACTTTCTGATAATTGGTCTATTTAAGGGATTATTTCAAACGTTAAGCGCAATGACAAAGAAGGGATATAGCGATAGCCCGTCTACAATCAAGTAGTCATTTATATGATTTAAGTATTGTTATTAAAAACAAAAAGAGCTATCTTTAATTGTCTCATGTTCACACAGGGAGGTTCATAAATGTATTCAAATGTTCAAAATACATATATGTATAGAAATAATAAACTTCGTCCGAAGTATAATCAGAGACCATGGTCATATGGTGTACGTAATGCTCCCGACCTGACAATCTGTCTCAGAATCATCAGAGCCGGTACAGACAATCTGTCTCAGAATCATCAGAGCATGTACAGACAATCAGTCTCAGAATCATCAGAGCCGGTACAGACAATCTGTCTCGGACTCATTAGAGCCGGTACAGACAATCTGTCTCAGAATCATCAGAGCCGGTACAGACAATGTGTCTCAGAATCATCAGAGCCGGTACAGATAATCCGTCTCAGAATCATCAGGGCCGGTACAGATAATCTGTCTCAGAATCATCAGAGCCGGTACAAACAATGTGTCTCAGAATCATCAGAGCCGGTACAGACAATCTGTCTCAGAATCATCAGAGCCGGTACAGACAATATGTCTCAGAATCATCAGAGCCGGTACAGATAATCCGTCTCAGAATCATCAGGGCCGGTACAGATAATCTGTCTCAGAATCATCAGAGGCGGTACAGATAATCTGTCTCAGAATCATCGGAGCCGGTACAGATAATCAGTATCAGAATCATCAGAGCCGGTACAGACAATTTGTCTCAGAATCATCAGAGCCGGTACAGATAATCCGTCTCAGAATCATCAGGGCCGGTACAGATAATCTGTCTCAGAATCATAAGAGCCGGTACAGATAATCTGCCTCAGAATCATCAGAGCCGGTACAGACAATTTGTCTCAGAATCATCAGAGCCGGTACAGACAATTTGTCTCAGAATCATCAGAGCCGGTACAGATAATCAGTCTCAGAATCATCAGAGCCAGTACAGACAATGTGTCTCAGAATCATCAGAGCCGGTACAGATAATCTGTCTCAGAATCTTTAGAGCCGGTACAGACAATCTGTCTCAGAATTATCAGAGCCGGTACAGACAATCTGTCTCAGAATCATCAGAGCCGGTACAGACAAACTGTCTCAGAATCATCAGAGCCGGTACAGGTAATCTGTCTCAGAATCATCAGAGCCGGTACAGACAATCTGTCTAAGAATCATCAGAGCCGGTACAGATAATCAGTCTCAGAATCATCAGAGCCAGTACAGACAATGTGTCTCAGAATCATCAGAGCCGGTACAGATGATCAGTATCAGAATTATCAGAGCCGGTACAGACAATCTGTCTCAGAATCATCAGAGCTGGTACAGACAATATGTCTCAGAATCATCAGAGCCGGTACAGACAAACTGTCTCAGAATCATCAGAGCCGGTACAGGAAATCTGTCTCAGAATCATCAGAGCCGGTACAAACAATGTGTCTCAGAATCATCAGAGCCGGTACAGACAGTCTGTCTCAGAATCATCAGAGCCGGTACAGAAAATCTGTCTCAGAATCATAAGAGCCGGTACAGACAATCTGTCTCAGAATCATCAGAGCCGGTACAGACAGTCTGTCTCAGAATCATCAGAGCTGGTACAGACAATCTGTCTCAGAATCATCAGAGCCGGTACAGACAATCAGTCTCAGAATCATCAGAGCCGGTACAGACAATCAGTATCAGAATCATCAGAGCCGGTACAGATAATCAGTATCAGAATCATCAGAGCCGGTACAGATAATCAGTATCTGAATCATCAGAGCCGGTACAGACAATCTGTCTCAGAATCATCAGAGCCGGTACAGACAATCAGTCTCAGAATCATCAGAGCCGGTACAGACAATCAGTCTCAGAATTATCAGAGCCGGTACAGTAATGTAACAGTAGTGTGTGCTTTGTTTGACATCTTCTGCCCTGTATCTTAACAGTTCAAATGATAAAAAGAGCCTCTACTGATACACAATCATAATACTTAATATCGGCTCGACAGTAACTAGGCAACCGTGATGCCGTTTTTAGCCCGTGCGAGGACAAAGGTATCTGACAAATCTAAACCAGGATGGAGTGTGAGTATTAAAAATAATCCTATAAATCACAAATA